GAGCCTGACTTCGAAAGAACAGGCGAGGCGATGACCTAGGTCGTAATGAAGAGCGAGGTTTCTCGATGCTGAGATTGATGCGTACCTCAATGTCCCATCTATTAGACAGCTCTTATATGGTACAAGCTTACCAGTTGCGAGAGAGGCGTGGTACCAGTGACTTCCACCTCGACACAGGGTGGTCATGTACACTTCACGCTGCTTCGCAGGATCACAGATGCTTACAGTACCAGGCCTTCCATTCCATACACGCAAAGGCTTTTGGAGGTCCCAGGTGATATAGAGTGAGATCACAGCGCATCTGCTACGAACGCAAGAAAACCTTAATTATGAGTAAATGTTGCCCAGACCAAACCATGATGCATGTATCTCACCAGTAATTTCATTTAAGATATTGATGCACTGATGTGCTGGTGGTAAAAAAATATTTTTCTTTTGGGAAAGTAGTATCTAAAGCATACCATTTTCCAGTAACTTACACAACAAGCCAAAGGTTTAATTGCCCTAACCAGAATATAGAGACCGATCAGGAGGCTGTTACCTGGGATTAGCATTGCCCTTTTGCGTTATTGCAGAAGAATTTCCTATGCGAATCTCGAGCCCACCGTTGATCCTTTCCGAGCAACAATCTTTTTCCTGTTGGTGATGGTGACAGTGTTGATTTGTATAGGTCTTCAGGAGAGGTCCAGTCTCCACCATGGACTGTTATCTTGCTGAGTGTGGGTACAGGATCCCTGTACCCAGTTGCTAGCACGATTTCCATCAATGGCCCTTTCTGGGACAGCATTCCCATACAGGGAGGACTGAGTGACTTTTCCACCTCTAGCAATATTTGTATCTGGACAAAGTTACAAAACTTGGTTTGAAAGATAGTTTGAGGAAGACACAGAATCATGTGTTAGTATTTCACCAAATCTGCGAAAGAAACAACCATTAGTATATTAGATTTAACTGTCACTGTGATTACTGTGAAAACAACTTTTATCTATACAAATAAAAAATGTTTTTCTGCATATCAACATGCTACAAGAGGCAAGTTTCTTTTAAGCATGTTTGATTTTTCTTTTTTTCTTTTGTTGTTTAAATAATAAATATGATTGATGGTATTTCCTTAATTTTTTAAGATATCAAACACTAAAATTAGACTTCATTAGGGAAATGTCAACAATTAAATTGAACAAATAATCTCACCAAAATGGCCACTTGTCTGTCCTAAAACAGCCAAGACAATTACCACAGCTGGAGTCATCATCCTGTGTAGAACATTCACCAAATGTACATGGAAGACTGATTTATTATTATATCTTGATTTTAAGACATGCACAATTTACACACACATATACATATACAATACCCAAATATATGTTGTTTTTTTGTACAAGTTAGACTTATTTAATTACATACTAAGTAATTCAATTATATCTTAATTACTAAGATATAATTGAACTTATTATACTAGTATTACTGCAAATGATTTTCAAAATAGTATTACTTGAGTATCAGTATGTATTGTTATTGTGTACCATACAAAATTATAAATAAAACGTTTTTGTTTGTTTGTTTTTTTCTCTTTCTTTTTGCTGTAACATGCAAAGCAGAATTTCAGCAAACTACAAAGATTATTACTATGCATGAAATATGTGTTACAAAATTAAATCAATGTTATAGCACCATTGCTGGGAACAGTAGGCATTTTATGAACCTTTCAATGCGTAGCTCATCCACATTCTCAGTCAGATCTTATTTTTTTCCCCTTTGATGAATGCAATCCAATATTCTGTCCTTTTCAAACTGCTTATTACACTCAAATTTGAAACCATATAATAACCAATTACAAAACTTTAATATAAGCCATTCTCATTGTTTTTATCAAGATATTTATAATGTCATTAAATCTTGTCATTCCAAGCTGCAATACAAAGTGATACCTGATTTTGTTACCAACAAATTATTAAAAATGGTTGACAGTAAAGTAAAAATACAGTTGATCAGTATTTCTACCTAAGGCCTACCTGAAATCTCTCAAGCACCGTGGTAGCAGCTGTTGTCTTGTAGGTGAACATATGTATGTGTTCTTTTATACTTTTGTGCAGAGCGTGATTGACAACTGTTTGATTAAGGATTATCATGATCAAATAGGACACTGTTGTAACTTGTTATCCACCCTCTTCAAATATATATAAGTATATTGTTTTTGCTGGATCACATGTGGTGTTGCTGTTTACTTTTCCAAATGGGACACTGTGAGTCTGCTTAAATAAATCATCAGATCAAAGTTGATACAACTACATACAGTACATGGGTTCTGGTACAAGACATATGAGAAGAAATATATCTGTTACAAATTACAACAAATGGAGCAATACTTGCAAGATAATTCAGACAATCAACTGGAGCTGCACTGCTATATACCCATGACATACATCACTCTCCATAATCAAAAACCAACCACATCCTTCCAATTTGGCAGTCTATTTAAGCTGCAAAATTTCCCAGCTCTCCCTCTGCTCTCTCAATGCTGCTGCTGCCTGACCTTCTCTTCTATCCCATGTGTTTCTACACACACTTATATCCTAACTGCCATTCCCTCTTTTCATTCCCCTTATTCAATTCCTCTCATGTATACTCTTTCTTAACTATATTCCTGTTTCTGTTTATTCCTCTTCCTTGCATTACATGTCTGTCTCTGCATGAATGTGTGTATTGGTGCGTTTGTATTGTGACAAGCCACATGCTCACTATAAAGGGAACTTAAAGTAGGTCAGGCCTGAATTTGTAATGATGCCACGGTCTGCTGACTTGCCTACTGTAGGTCTGATGTGTATGTCTTAATGCTTGAATTGGTCTGAATTGGTCTTTTTGTGTCTTCTCTAATGTTGCATTTGCTTTCCAACAAATATCTTTGTAGATTCTGCTCTTTGCATACAGTTGGTCGCATGTGATTCCTGTTCATATTGTGAGTGCCCAGCCACATAATAATAATAACCTCAATTTCCTTGTGACACTTTGACATAGTACCTTGTTAGAGAGCAGTTAAGTCAGTCAGACATTATTCTGGCCACAGACTGCCTGACAGTCTGCCATAAGGGACACACTCTAGAGTGACTGCTCTCTCTGAGTACTTAACCTCTTGTTAGAAGAGGGGACAGTAATAAAATGGTGTGTGATATGGTTAATGTACACACCATCTGGTCCCTGGTCAAAAGCTCAGTTACCATTTGGAATGCATTATTACACAGGAATTATCACACGGAATTGGAAATTGTTGTTGGTGAAGTATATTCGGACATTATTTTAAACTTTAGTAAAGAATAAGTTTCATTGTTAACAAGATTTTCTATTATTTAAGACAGAATGCTTTCGCCATTGACAAGATATTCCGGCAATCTGTGTATTCACTGCAATAAAAAGCCAGGGCCAGAATTTGATGATTTCTGTCAGTTATTACATAATTTACTGGGTTTTTGTTTGTTATGTGTCCTTTTTTGTGGGAAAATGTGTCTTTACAAGATAAGATGTACTTATAACTCATTAAGTTCAGGATGTTTATTCTGCAAGTTTGATTAACAGAACGTTAAGTGTTAAGTGAGGAGTTTTCTCTCCAGCAAGAAGAGATCTCTAAGAGATACAGTCTTAAGGTGTGTTATAATGCTACTAAAATGCATTTGTTAAATCTGTGAAGACATCACATTTTTGACTGAAGTAAGCTAGGAACAAGGATAAAGAGGGGTGTTAAGAGGGAATCTCAGTGAAAGAACTCTACACCGGCTCTCCAGGGAAGCACTCTCTGCTCAATCGTTTGCTCTTAGGTGCCCTTTAATGACATCTCTAGTACCAGATTGCCTCCCCTCACTAGAGTACTTGTTTCAGTCTATTTTTCCAGAGAGAAGTTCCTAAAATCGGGTGTTGGGCATGTGGAAGTGGGGGGAGGCAGTCTCTTAGACAATCAAATGATAGGATTTTCTCTTCCAATCATTTTTGATAGCATGTGTCTTTCCTCTCCTCTAGCTTTTTGGTGCGACAAAGACAAGGTAAAGGATAGAGATTAAGAAAAACACTGAATTTGTCCTTTGCCATCAGGCCCACAAAGATTATTTTCCTTTATTTTTGATTTTTTAGATCAGTAATTTTTTAAGTTGTTTGTCTTTCATTTCTCCGTTCCACAGATTTGAATACTTTGTCTGCACGCCTGGCTCAGCTGAGCAGCAAAGTACTTTAACAATTGTATGTACAAGGTTCCAGCTTTTCTATAATTCCTAAAAAATCACTTTTAAAAGGGAAATGTAAAAAAAAGGTTGAGGTTCAGGTGAGCAGTATTGTCTCATGTGTTTCTTAATGTCTCCAGGCTTAAAGCACCAGCAGGAAATTACTCTACACAAAATGGTGAGAGCGATCCCACTTCTGAGTATAGTTGCTGCTCCCTCCTCTCCAGGAGTGCAGCAAAACTAATGCTGTTTAAAAAATGTGACTGACTGAATGTAGCAGTGCCTGTTAATATATCATTACCTAGCACTTTCATCCACTACTCCAGCTGACACTATTGCACACAAGAAACTGAATAGAGATTTGACTTCTTTGCTTCTCCAGAATCTGTGTGGCAGGCGTTCCCACTGGTTGCATTAAAGACATAAGCCACGACAAAATAAATAGATGGGACAGGAAGGGAAAAGGGAAATGAGGTACTATGGAGTATGTTTGTGCTTAGGTTCCATAGCATTAACCTTAAGTAATACAGTCTCTCCAGACTCAGGATTGACCTTAGTATTTATTTATTGAGGCCCACAAAACTCTTACTTTTATCCTGTGTTCCCACCAAGGCGAATCAAAGTTTTGGAGCGAGTAGATTACATACAAAGTCAATAAAATAAATGCAGAAGGAAATTTGCGCCCGACAAATGGCACGAATTGAGTTCAAAATATTGAACTTCGAGCAAAAAATGTGCACATATCACTGGTGTTTGGAGTTTTGTGTGGGAAGGAGCACAGGAACAGGGCTGCTGACCCACAGACAGCTGCTTGAGCCCAGGAAGCTCTGCAGAAGAAAGCTGGGGGCAGAGCTGGAACTTCTGGAGGAATAAAAAGCCTTAGTCACATCGGGTCCTGCTTTGATCTGTAGATGAGGCAAGAGGAGAGCCTGTCTACTACTTCATATTTATACAAAAGGCACTTCTACAAGATGGCAGCAGTGCCTTGATGACGTCAGTCAAGTTTCATTCAATATATTCAAGGTTCATTCAATATATTCAAGGATTCATTCAATATATTGTTTAATTCAAGGTTCATATTCAATTATAGTTCAAGGTTCATTGATTCAAATAAATATTTCAGAATTTCACCAGGTCCCATATAGGTATCAGGTAATCATTTTTCCATAATATATCTAAAAAGGTTCATTCTCTTTCATATATTCAAAGTTCTATCATATTCAAAAAGAATATTCATTATCAATAGTAAAGTTCGGTTCCTAGTGTTCCATGGATCAAGTATATTCAAGATTACATATCCATATAGTTCAAGAATTCATGTCAATATAATTCAAAGGATTCATTCAATAATTCCAAAATTAAATTTTCCTAAAAAAAGGCATGCCATAATATGTATAATATAGTATATAAATATTATATATATAAATCATCAGTTCTCTGTCATCGCTTACTTGATTAAAATATTCTGTTTTTTATCATCTTAAAACATGTTTTCAGTGATGCTATTACTGTTCATTTATTTATTGATTGATTAATCATTTTTCTCTTGGTTGTGTCTAGTCTAAGGTTGTAATAATTTTCTATGTGTTATTTAGTTGTAGTATATTTTTTTATGTCTGAGAAGAACAACAAGGAAAATTGTCTCAAATAATGCAATTACAGCAGAAGTGGCAAAAGTGAATGAACAGAAGGCAGTTTCCCTGCTGTCTCCTCAATGCTCCGTGACTCTCTGTATAAATTAATTGCAAAGAGAAATAATAAACTACATTGGATGCAACTGTGCTACTTTTTGCCTTTCATAAAGGGAAGATCTTCCGAATGTATAGTCACTGGCGTTACTATAAGGGCTGTTACAATATGACCTGCTACAGCTGTTACATTGTGTTGCATCACAGTTGTTCACTCGCTGGTTGAACCCTCCCTGCTCCCCCTGAGCCTCTGCAGTACATGCTGCAGTCTGTCTCGCTTCAGAACCACTGATGCATACAGATGCCATTCACCAGCTGCTGGAGCCCTCTGAGGATTTCCCCCATTTATCACGTTCTGTCCGACGCTTGCTTGAGTAGGACTCAATACTTGCACTCCAGATGAAAACAAAGTTAAAACAATATATCCCTTCTCTATTACTAAGGATATTTTTGTTTTTATCTCCTCTGGGTATATTTCATAATATAGTTTAGTGCGCTGTTGGAGCAAGATGTTATTTGTGTTTTTTTCCCTCTCTGATGATTAGTTGTGTCTCTGACTCACCGGTAGCAAGTTTTTTCAAGCTCAGTTATTATAGTCGAGCAGGGTGTGGACAAAAATGTTAACTTTCATCTGTCTATGAATCCTTCTGAAAGGGTGGTTAAGTGTGGTTTTAGTTGGGATGTGTGTGTGTGTGTGTGTGTGTGTTTGTGTGTGTGGGTGTGTTCATAAATGAAGTGCATGAGTACCTGCCCTGTCTCTGTTCCATTAGTCATTGTCTATACTGTGAAAGGTGCAGTGGGGTTTTCTTTCAGCACATCAGCTCCTCCTTGTTGTATTGATCTGATAGAAAATGATACGTCTCATAATGATTCATTTGTGCGATGGCTATTATGCGTCTTGCTGAGTCACTGTGTTGCAACAGAATTAATGAGTCACTGTTAAAAGAAGTGCCTAATATTAGTTAGAGAGCACAGGGGGTGTACAGAAAATGTTCTGCTATTTTAGATGTTATTACCATATTTGACAGCAAACCACATGCTGAGCACCTTTTGCAGCATTGTAGACATCGGCTATTGTTAGCCGCAAACCTACAGCCCACCTGTCTAACCTAATTAGCTGTATGGTCAATCTCCAAATGACAGGTTTCATTGTTTGACTC